CAAAAACAAAAGAAGGACAATTTTAAGGTACGAATAAAATTCTCAAACACAAGCGACAACTAGAGCGCGAGAAACAAGAAAAAAGATAGAAAATTACATTCGTAAGGACAGGATGGGTGACCAAAACATTATTATCCTGAGCACTGTTTACAACACTGGCACAATGTACGTTAAGCCGTTAGTCCTGGCTGCATCAGCAACGTTAACACCCACCGATCCGCATAAAGTTATGGCCCATTGATCTTATTTGATTCGACTCCATCCATAGGAATAAAAAAATTCTACCAAAATACTTCCCACGCAGACGAAGTTGCGGGCACAGCTAGTTTGGTTAAATAAAAAGGTTATATATATTTTATTTTAAAATTTATCCCTTGAGAATTTTATAAGATTTGAATTTTACACTTAGATTTGAATCTTATAATTAATATCCTAATTGATTGTTTTGTTTTTTATTTAAAGTTGATTAAGTTATATGACTATCATAAGTTAAAAAAAAACATAAGTGTTATGTAAAATAATTGTTTTATTTTTTAGATATCAGTATTTATTCCACTATTATATGTTTCCAATATCCATTTATTATATCAAATAATCCATATATTAAACAAAATAATGTTATTCGAATGTATAAGTTGTAAATTTTATATATTTTTTTGTTATGAAATAAATTACATAACAATAAAATACTTATTTACGCACGTTACAATTCGACTCAATTCGGTAGTAATTTGATATTGTAGCTTATCAATTATTTAATATTTTATCATTCGCTTCTCTCGGTTGTTTTCGTTTTCCTACGGCTCCCCACTCAGATGTAGCCTGTTATTATTTTAATTTTTCTCCATTCGCTAGTTCTCACTTCCTTTCCTCCATGATAATATAATAATTTGTCACCGAATCTATATCAGCTAGCCAATGGCGGTCTCTATGTACCGAATATTAGTTTGGAACATTTAAAAAATTACTTCCAAACTAATCGTAAGTGTTGGTATTTTTTTAAATTGCTCTATCTATAATGTATTCAGGGTTGTCCTTACTTTATGCACACACAAAGGGATGAGATTGGTAGCAACCCACACATTCCCAGACTTATTCTTCAAACCAAAACAAGCTTTTCGCAATGTCAAATTAAACGTGAAACGTTCCGCTTCAAATAACATCGTTTGTTTTAGTTTTATCAAAAGAAACTTTATCATTGAAACAATAAACATTATTTCAGTTTAATTAGTTGAGAGAAATAAATATTTAAATAAATGATGCGTTATAATTAAAAGACAGAAATATGTCGTGAAAATAAAAATTCATAATAAATATAGTAGCTAATGATTACATGTACCTATAGATGTTTCATCTCGTTTCGTGGAAATGATCGCTATGACTGTTAGTACCCCCTTTAGTAAAAAAGTTTTATATCGATCTACTAAATATTATTTAATACAACTCTATAACTCATTTTTCTTGATTGACTTTATTGTCTCGCATAGAATGTGAAAAATGTGATATGTACCGTGAAAAATAGTTCATTACAAGTGACTTACGACTAAATTAAATTTTGAGTGGTTTGTTCTCAGTCTCAGACATTTTTCGTTCTTTTAATTAAATCACAAAACTCAGCCACCTAAGTTCATTAGAATAATACGAGACAAAACACTCGAGTCTTTTATAAAAATTAGAGTTATTTTTCAGTAAAATATATATCAAAACTACGAGTCTCTCTTAATCTGAAGATCGTTTAAACGACTGCACCACGCCCGGGACTCATTTAACTCTGAGACTTAGAGCAAAAATAAAAATAAAACCTAAAGTGCTTTAAGGTTATGACTTTAAAGACCATCTTTCCAAAAATCATACTTATACAAACTACTCATAAAGTTTGCAATCAATATTGGTTAAGGGAAACTGATCATCCGTCTTCTATGAGTTATTGTTTTACAAGTGAATTATCTAGGTATGGGTAGCACTATAAATCATCGTATCCGATGAAACTACCTACGTTAAGTTGGAGATATTACATTGTATTTTCTTTGTATTCATAGAGTGTGGGATGTAGATAGAGTTATCGTAACCTAGTAATTTTGTAGATCTAATATTATTCGCATAGTGAGGTCGAAACTTAAAGAATATGATTTTAATGATGTAACATGCAACTCCTTTTCAGGATGGATAATTTGATATATTCAACACGGAATCAACACACGTTTTAGGTAGGTAATAGGTGGAAAACGTAGGATGAATCAATTATGCTTCCAATAAATTTAACTTAAAAAAGAATATTTTGATTTCGTTTGTATGTCAAAATAATTTTGTAACTATCCTCCAAATTTTACATGCCTTTTAAATTATTCTTCCTGAAAAGTGGCTCGTATGTGAAGTTAAAAGTTAGAATATAAGTAAAATCACTTCAATCATTCGCCATGCATGGCATTTATAATATTTACGGCGGGAGTCATATTTCAGTTAATTTACAGGAAATAGCAATTACACATGTTTACTTTACTCATGAATGTAAAAAAAAGAAGTTTTGAGTTGATCACGTTTTTTGGTAATCTCAGGAACCTAGATAGAATTAAAATGTATTACTTTGGGAGACTACACTAAATAATAACTACCTCAGCCATTAGTGAAATCAATATAGCATCGTGAATGCAGAACTTACGAAATACGGTAATTTACCACGTTTAGTGACACAGATGTAGTGGGCGTTTGTAATATGTAATTATGGTAATATCTTGTCTACGTTGTCAGAACAAATTAATTTCAACTTGCAACCTCCATGCGTGGGACGTCGGAGTGGGATCTATATTCTATTTTTGAACTTTTTGTCACAAAGTGTTTTTCTAAATGTTTCTGTATCTCAAAAGGTAAAAAGGTAGTACAATATTATATGTCTTTTTTGTGAATCAAAATGGTCTGTTGTGTTTTAAACTTTATATCTGTAGATATAAACATTGTCTATTCCTATTGAAGGCGATAAAGCAGACAATGGTGTAGATATTATATGAGTGACAAAAGAAAAAGTTATGTAACATTATTCCCAAAACCCTCTTTTTTCTTTAGGTATTTTTATATAGGTATGTACACGATATATAGATGATTACGTTCTTCAGAAGGTATAATCTGAAAATGTTTTCCTACTGACTTAATAAAAATAATATTTATTATGATCATTTCAAAAGTTTATTTGTCAACAGTAAGGTGAATGCTGAGGACGTTTGATTTATTCAAACTTCGAGAATAACTTTAGGAGACGAGATTTCCGTATCATTAATCAAACACGTCACGGTTCCTCCGTGGTATTGTGTGATTTCATCAAGTTGCATGGAAACTTGAGTTGTCGATTAAAACTTCAGATCATTACGCAAAAAAAGTGTCCTAAAGATAAGAATTATTTTAAGGAGACAAAGGAAAATGTACCCTGTGTCAGATTTTAATTCTCCGCGAAAGCAGTGTAATATCTAATTGTACATAATAAATATATTTCAAGCGAATAAAACTAATAAACTATATAATATTTTTATGTAAAGCAGCATAAAGTAATTCTATAGAAGTAAGACCAAAATTATAGTTTATTGTTAAAATTCCAATAATTTATTTGCTCAATGATACGTACCATATACGTATTGGTTTCTAGAATTTTTTATTGATTTCTTCTTCTAGAATTTGGTAATTGATATGTATGTAGCGTGAAAATATTTCTATCTACTTAGTATAATCCCGTATTTTCACCCAACGTCAGTAAGTAAAATTGCAAGAAATTTTTCAGTTTATTAAAAATTTATAATGTTTTATGCTTTATTTCGCATAGGTTTAATAGTTTTATTTCGTGGAATATTCCTTCCTTTATTGACTGACCTCGTAATTTTGTCTTGGCTTCTCTTCACCTTAATGCGCGTTCTCTAATTTCCGTTTATGTTGGTGACAGGTTGACAATTTGACAAAGGGATCGTTTACACGAAGTTAGTATCTGATTCCGTAATCTAGATAAGTCAGTGTACACCTTTTTTTTAGGAAATGCGTAAGGCACTGCCCTTGCCGTCTCGCAAACGAAAAAGTGTGTGTGCCACACCACCAAAACACAAAAATCCCTACGGTGTACCCTATCTTGGGAATGAGACCTAGGAAGCCGTGACCGAATCACCAGGACAACCCCCTTTCTAGGATTTATAGTCCCTCTCATAGATGACGAGGATCAGGTACATCGGGAGCCCCTCTTAGACAAGCGAGGCCGTGTCATGTTGAGGTGGTTGCCAGTCAGGAACCAATAAGGAATACATAAAAAAGAATCATCCAATTTGGTGCATTCGTTCGGAAGTTATGCATGTACATATATTTCGGCGATTCATTAATATACATATACATACATATTTTTATTTCAGGAAATAAAAATGTAAGAAGCGTTCAAAAACTGATCAGTTTATCGATGAGGCCCTTATCCTGCATCTATCAGAAATTTTGGATCTGATTAAAGAAAGGGCCTTGTTACTTCATCCAAGGCGCCACCGACCGATTTGATTGTGTCTTTAACAAAGACAATATAAGGGTAAATTATTCGAGTTCAATTTGAAATAATAATAAATAAATGTAATTCGTTTTCAAGGTTAAAATAATTGAAAAAATAAATATAATAACTTATGACAATGTTAACAAATTTTATACGACATGTTTTTTTTTACCTCACGCAGTTTTCGACATATTGATTTCATTCCAATAGTGAATAAAATTTGAATGATTACATTAAGCTTTTCATTAATTTAATTTCAAATTAGAAAATTTGTCTGATAAGAAGATATTGCAAATGATCTTTCCATAGTTCTAATGCATGGATGAAAGCCTAGCTAGCTAGTTAATTAAGCGATTGTAATCTTGGATAAAACATCTTTCAGATCGGACTTCTCTGGGATATCGATTTGTTTAATTGGATCTGAGATAAGAAGCCCTAGTACGGTCTAAAGATACTATGTAGGTACTAAGATACTTGGGATAAAATGGGTACTCACTTTTCCAATCGTAGAACTCCTCTAGATTTTCGGGATGTTCAGCCCAGACGAGGTATGCGAAAGCCTCGTCGGGTACGTTAGCGACGCAGAAACCTTTTAAGGAAGGCACTCCGCTCCGCGTAAACTCGGCCAGCTGGTTTGATAGCTCGAAGTTGGCCTGCAAAATAATCTTTATTAGTTAATTTGCTTTATTAAAGAATATAAAAGAAACTCTAAACGCATTTATAACATACTTTTGAACAAAAACAGTATACACATATTGTCAATTTTGCTTTCACAATGTTATACTGATAAATATATGAATGAAAAATTCTTGATACTTCTACCAGCCTAAGGTATCCCTATGTTTGGCCTATTTTTGGTGGCCTTTTTGAAGTATTTTTCGTCAGAAACAAAATCTCTATCAAAGTTCACTTCATAAACTAATATAATCCATTAATATTGGTCATGGAATTTGTCAAAGCTATACAATATCTCCGTAATATTTACTGGAGCTTTTAAAAATGTCTTAAAAGGGTTATAAGATATTTTCAAGAGCCCCAGTATAAAGGAAGAACAAATTACTAAATATCCATGGAGGAAGTCTCAGGTTCGCGGACGATATAGTAGGTATTGTTAGCCTATAATGTTGGTGATAGTTAAATCTACAAAAATGGTCTTGAAAAATTTGGCAATTGAAGTCTTAAAGAACAAAATAATTATGAATATTTCAGAGGTAAAATACTTTCATTTAGGACACAAAATAACATAAGGCTTATCTATCATTGGTACTTTACTCAAACTTTTCGCGGATCTAAAAATACTCGTAATATTGTTAATCCGTGTACCTGCCAGTTTTCATATGTATATGCTATAGCAACTGCTGCCCTGACAAAGAATTTTGTTCGATGAAATCCTAACTAACGTATTCGAGGACACAATTGAAAGAATAAAAAAAAAACCCATGCAATAATTTAATACGACATTATTACGGTTATATATCTGACATACAATGTTATTTTATAAAGTATCTGTAAAAGATTATGTTTTTACCCAGGAAAACACAAAACAAATCAACATTTATGTAAATTAATAAAATTAAAATGGTATAATAGTATAATGTAAACCTCTAAAAATTAGTTACGATGTTTTTCCTTGCAGGTGTCGTTTTATTTTTATACTAAATCAGTCTGTAACCAGCCTTAATATTCGGTAAGGAGGGACAAAACCATTTCGTCTTTTATTAAAATTTGCTTTTATTAAATACCGTATCTACAATGATTATATATACTAATGAATAATAAATGTTGTTTCTTTTTCTTCACCGATGGGACAAAGTAATTCAGGATTCTTGTTACTTAACAGTAGACATAGAAACAGTTAATTAGAGTTCTTTTAATGAACTTCTAACCAAGCAAATAAAAAAAAATAAGGTAGAAACTTCATTAATACTAAGGTCCACAATCTGACATTTCATTCATTTTAAGTAAATATTAATTACACAGTACAATATTTATGTAATCATTTCTTCATAATAATTTAATGGCTAAATGTTCAAGGTAAATCTAATATTATACTTATACTGAAATAGATAGTCTTTTTTACGGTAGTAAGTTTTTAAGTATTTTTGTAGATCGATTTCATATCATTATTATTTGGACCGATTTATCATTTCGGGGACACATCGTATTAATTAGATATGTAATTAAATAGCTATTTATTTGTTGACTAGTTAAACCCCACCTTATTCATATGCGTTATATCTGCGTTTAATAAAGTTACTCGCACATGCTATGTCAGTAAGAGCAGAAGGTAAATAAATAATAATCAGCTCCCTTATTCAGCTTCCGTTTTTTCTGCTTTCATAATATGATTAATCATTTAAAGGTGGTAGCGGGAAATTATCTATACTATAATATTATAAAGCTGAAGAGTATGTTTGTTTGAACACGCTAATCTCAGGAACTACTGGTTCGAATTGAAAAAATATTTTTGTGTTGAATAGACCATTTATCGAGGAAGGCTTTAGGCTATTATAACATCACGCTGCAATTATTAGGAGCGAAGAAATAATGGAAAATGTGGAAAAACGGGGAAAATTATTCATCCTTGAGGGCTTCCGTTGCGTGCGCTGCGAAAACGGTTCAAGATACCAAAAATATATGTATGAAAAACTATGCTATGATAACAGCAATCGATACCCAAATAAACAGTTCCCTAGGCACAACGCGGGCGAAGCCGCTGGCGGAAAACTAGTTTAAAATAAAAGTAATTAGTTGTTAGGCTTTATACAGTGTTCAGTAATTTATTTTAACCAGATTTAACTAGAAAAAGACTTTTTATTACCGTCCTGGAATACTTAGTGTATTAAACAAAATCTCTAAGCTGGAATACTTATACTTACTATTCACCGATGTCAAAGCGCAAGTTATTTTATAATTAGCTCCCTGGGGATAGTGCCTCTACTTTACCCAACTAAACGCTTTCTAAGAATGCATGCAAATTGTATGCATAGTATCATTATCGTATCATAATGATAATGATACTATAATAAAATATCTCCATGTCTCTCAACTTCTGCAATATATTATTAAAGATATATTAACATCATATATTTAAACTTTCCAGTTGGCTCCGGTTGACGTTGAAATTTATTATATGCGAATTATAGGGAAAGTGATGAGGTATCTGTTTTCCAATTACGGATTAATTATTTCTTTAATTTATTAAATGCTTTACAGTAGACATTATTATATCTATACATAGGCAACATAGATAACTATATGTCTTGTATTCTTTTGATACTGTATTTTAACAGAATGGCACTGCAGATTCTTTTGATTAATCAATCAATCAAAATTTAGTCCACTTAAAAATCTGTTGTCTATCTGATTCGACATCTTGCTTTTAATGTTGAATTTTAATAATAATCAAGTGATAATATTATGACAACTGACTAAAGATAAAAACGGTTTTAAAAAAGAATACCAGAGATAATAAAATTAAAATGTGTCTGGTCTGTCATGATAGCTCCATTGTCCTCCGGGATACTGTTGGGCGCAAATGAATGTTTATGCAAATTTTGTCAATCAGAATAAAATAAACATGGAGATCCGTTAATGCGAAAGTAAATCTATAGAATTTATAATACTTAATTTCAAACGTAAACAGAAGTTATATTTATGAAATATTACCATGCAAATCTGAGCTTTATAAAAATACGTTGTAAAATTGGACTAATGGAATTTAAAACATTTTGTTTGTTTACTTTGAGTTCCAAATCGACTTAGTGCAATTGTATCCGATCTGAAAGTAAAATCAACATTTATTTATACAAAAGGCGATTTTATAAAAGAACAAGAATCAAACCCGGACCTTGGAAATGGCGAAACCTTAAAACTTTCGTATGAATCACTCGGCTACGGAGGTGAACGCAGTTTTATTGTGATAAGATATGCTACCTTTATTTAATTTACAAGATAAAATGGATGCAGTATACTTGTTCATAGCAAAAATTTGATAAGACTAGGACTAGACTGGGAATTTCTGCTATAAGTCAAGGTGACATACAATACTTTATCATAAGGAGCGTAGTCTCCATTGTTATATAGAATAACTTATGCTGTAACACGATTTGTCACACATTGAAAAATGACTTGGACACGGTAAAGTTTTTACCTTCAGGGACTAGCGTTCCGTCATATATATTTGCTTGGTTTTTGCATTTATATGAATTGGAAAGAAACTGAAACTGGTCAAGCGATAGTTAGATTCGCGTATCAAATTCAGTATAAATATTTAAAAGTTATAGAACTCTCATAGGTTTAGGCCATCTACAATACAATTGAGGAACTTAAATATTACGATTTGCTTTCATATTAAAAGCGTTTAATAATGCACATGCATACTACAGTTAGATAAGTTTATGCGTTACATCCATTTAATAAAATAGACATTCTTAATGAAAAATGCAAAAAAAAAACAGTTTGACTCTGGTACGCTGAAATGGCACAAGAACCATCTCAGTTCGATGTATGTACGTATGTTCACGTATGTACATACCAGCATCTATGTTTGTACGGTTGAGATCTCACCGTGACGCCATGACGGCTTTATTAAGAAAAATAAACTACTAATAGTCGTCTTTTGTTTTTATTATTATTATTCTCATTTAATGGAAATGTATTATAATAATTTTATTACTTACGTTCTGTTTATAGAAAGTTATTTTTTTTGTCTATTTTTACAATTGTCACAAGAACTAACTGTCATAAGATTTTACAAAAAACTGTGTAGTTGCTGAACAATGTTTAAGATCGGCCCTTCGCACGATATTAAATAACTTTCTGGCTTAGAGCATTTTTTTGGAACCAGTTCGACTACGTAGTTTCGTACAATATGTTATTATTAAATTTGCAAAACCAAAAAAACAATTTATATGGCAGCCCTTCGACGTGACGTGTGTCGTCATACTAATAAAAAGCATAACGTCATTTGAAATTGCGCTCTTCCCCTTGATAATGCTATTATAGCTGTAAAATTAAATTGTATCGCACTTTCCCTTAATATGATTTTTGATATACTACCTTCATTAGCAGATTGTTGCCACAGAAATTAATCAATTTCTGTGGTCGAAAGTTCCGTTAATATTATATAAAACATTAGGGGAATTACGAATTGATCGAATCATTTTGTCGAATTATTATAGCATAGATTAAATAATTAATCGAATTAATATAAATAATTTTCAAATTAAACTTATTAATAATAAGTATTCTTGGTTGATCTATACTTAATAAAGAGGAAAAATTTGATTGTTTGTTTGCATCAAATAGGCTTCAAAACTAAGGGACCAATTTTAAATTTTCTTTCACCTACGGGAAGCTACATCATATGCGGTGAACATAGGCTATATTTATCCCGAAAAATAGCAAATAAAGGGATGAAAATGGGAGTGGAAGTTTGTATGGGGAATTAAAACGTCACCATAGTAATAATTGTTTACTATTCAATTTGTCATTGTACTTATATTTATGTCATGATATGGATCGATATCCAAATAAACAGTTCCCTAGGGACATTGGGTGAATCCGCTGGCGGAAAGCCAGTTTTAAATAAGATTATAAAGTTTGAACATTGTTAAGGTATTATGTCAGAGAATAAGGTCGAGGATAGTTA